CCTGGCTGGGGGCTTCCCCCCCCCGGCCCCCGCTGCGGTGGGGGAGCGCCGGCCGGGGGGGGGGGGGGCGGGGGGGGGGCGGGGTGCCGGTGGGCGGCGCGTCAACCCAAGAAGCCGGTAGCACTGGGGCAGCCCTTTCCCCCTGGCTGGGAGTGGAAGGGAGGAGGGGGCGGAGTTAGGGTGGGGAAGGGGCGGGGCTAGGGGTGGGGAAATGGGCGGGGCCAGGGCCCGTGGAGGGTCCTCTTTTTTTATTTATGAGATATGGTAACCCTATTATAGATGACAGTACAGATTCTTAGGACAGAAGGAACCACTGAGATCATCTAGTCCGATCCCTTGTATAACACAGGCCAAAGAACTTCCCCAAGTAATTCCTATTTTAACTAGAACATATCTTTTAGAAAAACATCCAATATGGATTTAAAAATTGCCAGTGATGGAGAATTCTCCATGACCCTGGGTAAATTGTTCCAATAATTACCCTACCTGTTAAAATTATATGCCTATTTCCAGTCTGAATTTGTCTAGTTTCAACTTCCAGTCAATGGATCTGGTTATACCTTTGTCTGCTAGACTGAAGAACCTACTATCAAATTGCTGCACTACCAAATTTCTGTAGGGTACTTACAAACTGATCACATCATCTCTTTCCCTTCTCTTTACTAAGGAAAACAAGCTCCTTCAGTCAATCGCTATAAGGCATGTTTTCCAATCCTTTAACCTTGTGGCTCTTCTCTGAATTCTCTCCAATTTACCAATATCCCTCTTCTAAAAGGGCTGATGAGAAAAAAACAGTTCACTGACCTATCTAGTTTAAACAATAGCAGCCAAAACCAGAACTTTAATATTCACAGATTCAAAGTGAGGTTCATGGCTCTGAGGTCAGTTTAAACTCTAGGTCAAGTCAATTTTTCCAAGGGTACCTTAAAAGAATGTAGAAAGCCTACTGATTAGTGATATGGTGCAGCTAACTGCACCACAAATTCCTTGATTGCAGCTTTCTGTTTGCAATACTTTTTAAAGTATGTCCATACTAGAGGTGGAAGGTATTAACTCAGCTCAAGGAGACATACCCACACTAGTTCTGACCGAACTAGTGCACTAAAAATAGAAGTGGGGCTGTAGTGATGCAAGTGGTGGGATGAGGTAGCCAACCCAAGTACACATCTAGCGTCTTAGACAGGATTGTACTCAGGGTAGCTAGTCCCTCATGCTGCTCAGGCTGCAGTAGCTACACTTCTATTTTTAGCTTGCTAGCTTGATCAGAGCTAGCACAAATATGACTCCTTGAGCTGGAATTTACACCTTCCAGCTCTAGTGTAGACAGACCTTTTGTCAAGATGAATACTATCCCTTTGTGGATCTGGGAGAGCATTCCAAGGTTCATGAGACTGTGCAGGATTAAGAGGAAACTCTTGGATTGGTTCACAAAAATACTCAGTTGCTGGATTGGTTGAAGCAACAGATCATTGCTAAGTTCACTTTCAGTGGACAAGATAACAGTTTTGCTTTGTGTGCTCACAAATTGTCTCTATTTGTAGCAGAGTGGGAAAAACAGGTGTCTGGGACTGCCCCAGTACTGCTCTGAAGAACCATAAAAGAAGGGTGCAACTGAAGAAAGGCATTGTCCAGATTCCCCTCTTCAACAATGAAGAGCAAATCCTCTCCACTTTTTGTTAGGGCTGAGGGAAAGGGGTGGGAATAATATGAGACATTTTGTCAAATTCCTGCAACAAGCAGATAGGTCCTTTCATGAAAGGTGTCTGGAGGCTCTTACTTTAGCTTGTCCAAGAAGTTGAAATTGGCATTATCCCTGATACCCTGCCTTCCAGGATCAGAAAGAATATTCCGGCTAGTGTTGTGGAGCCAACATTAACTAAGTCTACAGGAGATTTGTCTGTGTGAGAAGACTAGAGTCAGAGGTAACCTGACTTTGATAATGTGCTGAAAATATTTAATATTGGGCCCTTTCTTTTCACTGCAATGGGTTATTAGTTTTGACATAATGAGGAACACAGATGTAGAAAGCTGGAATTAAGCCATCACAAAGGGCAAGCCAGCAACAGCAAAAACAAAAACAAAAACCCCAAAGCCCAAAATTCACAAAATTCACAAAAAAACAACACAGTTTGAAAAGAGAGATCTGCCAGAAAAAAGATAACAAGCAACTCTATTTGGATGGGAGATCTCTGAGCATAGGCTCTTCACCAGCTGGGAAGCATGAGGTTGATGGACCAAGATTAACTCTGGACTATGACTGCTCCAACAATGACTCAGAGAAGTGTAAGCAAGATGGACAGGGAGACCCAACACTGCTGAGATGCACTGCCTCATCAAAAGTGGAGTAGCTAGAGGATTGTTTTCTTTGATTTTTCAGGTGGAAAGATTAAGCTAAACTAACTGGAAAAGATGCTGAACTAGTAAGGAAACATTTCAATTAAGGGAACAGGAAACAACCACTACTAAAAGAAGGAATGAAAATGGTAGCGCACAAGGCAGAATGAAAGTAGTGAGTTCAGGTGAGACATGCTGCTGGTGCCTAATTGACAAGCATTTCTACATATACAGTGATATTTTTGCTTAGTCATTATGTGACATGGATAAAGTGTGACCTAACCAGAAACTACCAGAAAAATGCCATCTTATACCAAAATGACATCTTGCAACTATGTACATAATCACAATTTTTGATTTGTTTTTAAGGCCCACTTCCCCCATTCTCTGCTGCAGTTGACAACACCACAATGCTCCCTGTTACCAAGGCCCTTAAACTGAGGGATAATCTTTGAATCCTTCCTCTTCTTCTTACTGCTATCCAGGTTGGTTTCCCCCTTCATAATATTTCTAAAATCTGCCCTTTCCTTTTTGTCCTAATAGGCAAATCACTTCTCTGTATTTGTTACTTCCTGCTTTGACTCTTGCAGTCTCCTCTTCATGTCTTTTTTCGTACTACCCTTGTCACCTGCCCCTCACCCTCCAGTCAAGCCAAAATATCACTGCCAAAAATATCTCCCCCATCTTCCTTCTCTTCTGAATCTCATCTTGCTCTGAATATATCATTTTGCCTCTTTGAATCACTCACTGGGGAGCCACTGAACAGCATTTCATTTCAATCTTCTTGTCTTTGTCTTCAAGGTCCTACCATCATGTAACCTTTGCCCACCTGTACAATCTAGCCACTTTTTTGCATTTCCCCCATCCCTCTGCTCCACCAATGACACCAGCTTCAGTATTCCCTTAATCACCTCATCTCACAGGCATCTCTGTCTTCTTCCACAGCACCTTAAGTGTCCAGTTCTTTCCCACAAGTCTATTCACCAAGCCACCTAACTTGCCTCATTCAAATTCCTTCTAGAAGTTAATTCCTGCCATCTCACCAGTTGAAAGTGAGAGAGGGGAAAGGTTCCTTAAATTAAAAAAACAAACAACTCAGAACTATCAAGTGTGTGTATGTTATGGAGTAAATTGCATGATTGTCACCCTTTGTCCTTCCTCTCACCTTCTCATCAGTTTATGATCCTCACTTGTTCTGTTGTATTGAATTTAGATTGTGCATTCTTTGAGGATTTTTTGTTTTGTGCAGTGCCTAGCACATTCATAGGGGCTCAAAAATAAATAAAATGATACTCATCTATATGCCAAAAATAAAAGTCAAGGAACCCAGTCATGTACAAGCTGATTTTTTAGTAACCACATTCCTTAACCAGGCTAAAACTATGGACCTCTCTAGTTAAGGGTCTGTCTATTCTACAAATCAGATTGATTTGTAATACACTATAGATTAGTAATATACATAGTAATTAGCAAATAGTACTTATTGAGTCACCTGACTAAAATGTTTTTGCAGTACAGATGGATCCTTAGTCTCTTCATTTTTACCATTGTTACATGTATATGCTGAAACTATTCTAGTTGTTCTATTTCATTGGTACTTTCTGAAACCTTCTCCATCATGAAATTCTGGTTGCTGATACATCATTCTAGAATACTTAATACTGGGATTTTCCAAAGGCTCAGCTGATCTACCTGCTCTCATTGAAATCAAATTCCTGTAGGCCAATGCTGAATGCTTTTGAAAATCCCACTCTACGACTTTATATTTATTTAAATTATTTACCCTCTTTATTCATAATGTCATCCTTAGTTTTATACTATTTTTCACTTATAGTGCTATGAAGTTTGTGGAAAGTGCTTTATGATGTCTACAGTTATATTAATTATGCAAATAGTAATCATATCTTCTGATGCAATTTACACTAGCTTGAAAATAGTATACCTAGCATAGCTTTCCCTTCATCTTCCAGCTCAAATCGAAGAGTCTGAAGTTCCTGTTCCATTTCCAATTTGAAACCTTCCATAGCTTGTTTGTGTGCTTCTTTCAGTGTCTGAAGTTCTTCTGAATGTTTTTGTTGTAAATGCTCTTCTAGTTCCTATGAAATCCAAAAGGAGAATTTTTTTTACACAAACTAAAACAATGCATAAAATATTTAACAATGAACTAACAGAAAGGATTTTTTTAAATGACAAAAAAATGCATGTATTATTAAAAATACCTCCATTTATCATTTAAAAAAGCCAATGACATACTCAAGCCATCATTAAAAATGTAATCTTTATTCTACTTCCCCAAATTAAAGTGCCACAGAGGACTTCTTTCTTATTCTTTCCCATCACTGGTGATTACCAGTACTTTTGAGTATAAAGAGTAAGGACCATAATCTACTCCCAATTTGTGCATGGAACAATGGCAGGATACAAGGACCATTTACACCCTAAGTTTAAGTTTCTAAAGTTATTTATTGTTTGGGTGGTTTTGATCCAGGTGTGAACAAAATGAAGTATGAAATCACAATCATTTCTGAGCTTACAGTGGGTAAAAGAAAAAATGCTTTATCACCTTTTAAATACTATGAAAAAAATAATGCCCAGGTTGAGGACATAGATGCATATTTTCAGTTCTGAAAATTCTTTTTAAAATCACAAATGTCTAGATCAGGGGTTCTCAAACTGGGGGTTGGGACCCCTCAGGGGGTCGTGAAGTTACGACATGGGGGGGGGGTTGCGAGCTGTTGGTCTCCACCCCAAACCCCGCTCTGCATCCAGCATTTATAATGGGGTTAAATATATTAAAAAGTGTTTTTTAATTTATAAGGGGAGTCACACTCAGAGGCTTGCTATGTGGAAGGGGTCACCAGTACAAAAGTTTGAGAACTACTTGTCTAGATTCTGCCATCCTTTCTCAAATTAGGCAGCACTCTGCTGTACAGATTATCCCACTGAAATGAACAGCACTACATGTAAAGTTAGGTACTACTCAACGTTACGATCACCTTGGGAATGGAGGTTGCTCATAACTCTGAAATGTTTGTAACTCTGAACAAAACATTATGGTTGTTCTTTCAAAAGTTTACAACTGAACATTGACTTAATACAGCGTTGAAACTTTACTATGCAGAAGAAAAATGCTGCTTTCCCTTTTATTTTCATAGTTTACATTTAACACAGTACTGTACTGTATTTGGTTTTTTGTTTTTTTTTCTGTCTCTGCTGCTGCCTGATTTGGTACTTCCGGTTCCAAATGAGTTGTGTGGTTGACTGGTCTGTTAGTAAGTCTGGTGTTCATAACTCTGAGGTTCTACTGTACTCAATTTGAGCAAGGGTGTCAGAATAGGCTTAAAAGGATTTGTAACAGAAGTAATGTTACAACTTTCAGCCCTGATCTTACTTAACATTGCTCATGAGAAGACGCCTGATCTCACATGGAGCCCCAACAAAGTAAATGGGGCTCTAAGCAGGAACGGTGGTATGCCCATGGACAAACACTGCAGGTTCAGGGCCTTAGACAGTAGACAAAATAAGGAAGCATATGATGTACACAAGTGTGAAGAAACAAATTTCAAAAGGACTCTAGCAAATTCTGAGAAGTGGTGTGAGAAGTTTTTTCATAAGAACAGCCATACTGGGTCAGACCAGAGTCGATCTAGCCCAGTATCCTGTCTTCCGACAGTGGCCAATGCCAGATGCCCCAGAGGGAAAGAACAGAACAGGTAATCATCAAGTGATCCATCCCCTGTCACCCATTCTCAGCTACTGGCAAACAGAGGCTAGAGACACCATCCCCGCCCATCCTGGCTAATAGCCATTGATGGACCTATCCTCCATGAACTTATCTAGTTCTTTTTTGAACCCTGTTACAGGCTTGACCTTCACATCATCCTCTGGCAAGGAGTTCCACAGACTGACTGTCCATTGTGTGAAAAAATACTTCCTTTTGTTTGTTTTAAACCTGCTGCCTATTAATTTCATTTGATAACCCCTAGTTCTCGTGTTATGAGAAGGAGTAAACAACACTTCCTTATTTACTTTCTCCACACCAGTCATGATTTTATAGACCTCTATCATATCCCCCCTTTGTCGTCTCTTTTCCAAGCTGAAAAGTCCCAGTCTTATTAATCGCTCCTCATGTGGAAGCCATTCTATACCCCTAATAATTTTTGTTGTCCTTTTCTGAACCTTTTACAACTCCAATATATCTTTTTTGAGATGCGGTGACCACATTTCAGAAATATAATGTAACAAATTAAAAGAAGAGCTATATTGGATGTCCTGGAAAGTACAAAGAAAGTTATTACATATAACAACATGAACTATAGTGTAGTAGGAACTTTAAAAAACCCTCAGAATCAGATTATTGGACAAAAATATGTAGGTGATGTTGATAATGATTAAATATACTAACATGATGCCAGAAGACAGAACAGGGTGCTAAACTTCTACTAGGTAATGTCTATATTATAAAGGAAGTTATTCAATTTGCCTGCATAATATTTAACTGTAGTAATCATATTACTAATGTAAGTTACATCTCTTGAAAAAAGAAATAAGAAATAATGCAAAGAATTTTTTTTACTAATTCTCTCAATATTTTGTATATTGGTATGTTTAATCATGTTTCCGTGATGTACCCTATACACTTGTCTGAAATATCCATATGAACATGCCTTTTGTTTTTGTTCTTTTGTTTGTTCCATGTTTTGAAATGCAAGTATATGCGCTTCCTTCAGGGATTCATGCCTTTGCTGATGCTCTTCTTCCAGTTCCTCAAGCTCCTGGGTAAGCCTTTGTCGCTCCTGACTAAACTGCACCTGTAGCAGTTGCAAGGAGCTCTGAGACTGGGAAAGCTGCATCTCCAGATTCTGTTTCAGCAAGGAGATCTAATCCACAGAATAGCAAACATCAGTAAATCATAAATACAAATGTCAAATCAGGAAAAAATGCTTTCAAAAGAAGTAAATATTTCATATGAACTTTATATATGAAATTTCTAGAACATACTTCTAAACATCACATTTCTTAATCTGAAATTCAGATAACATATCTACTGATTATAACCAAATATCATGGAACTATACAGAACATAAAACACAAGAGAGAAACAGTAACTTATAACTAGTGAATTGTGTTATATAGTTTACCTCAGAAGTACAAGAATTAGAGTAAAGAGATTTTGTGAGGGCTCCCACTTTAAGATACATCCCTAAAACACCACTACTTATAAGGTATTTGATGTTTCATAAATGAATTACATGTTACCAAAATGCTCTTCCAGATCTTTAATAAAGAAAAAATTAAAATGACACTATCAAGGTCTGAGGTCCAACACTGGATATATTAAAATTAATAAATTCTGTGGAGAAGATCATCAAGGTTATGTAGGGAAAATCCTGACTGGAAAAAGAAATGGATTAGAAGACCAAGAAATGTAAATCTTTTCCATCTCTAATTTCTATGGTCCTAAATTATAGGTAACTGTCTGTTTTTAAAAATGTAGCACTCTACTGCAACTAAGTTAAAATATCTCACTACTTTTGTTAGATCTATAAAATTAGAATGTTTTGTGGTTCTTCTGCTGTCTCTTAACTAACACCACAGCAATTAAACTATCAAATGTATATTTTTTTCTGGAAACTTGTTGACATGAACAATGATGTTAGTGAACAAACAAACATATCTGAGTAGAATATGATTTCCTGTAGTCCATAAGGGAGCTCCATGATCCTTTATCTCAACTGTAACTTTATACCCCAATCTTAATGTCCAATGGCTTAGCCATCATCCTTCCAGACAAAGAAGACTGGACTGACGGGATTCCATTTGGATCCACATAACACAACTCCTTAATTGGACAGAAGGGTTGCTGACAAGGCACCCTCAGCACCTGCCAGCTTGGGGAACAAGAATAAACTGAAAGTTTGTTACAAAAATGAATTTTGCTCCATTGATCACACAGGAGGAAAAAATACAATTGCCAAAAGGCAAAGTATTTAAATTAGTATAGAAAAAAATATTTCTAAGCCTCAGAGGGTAAACCTTTCATCACATAAAACTGATGAAAAAACTGATAGTGTCATTTAATTGTGCACATGCCAAGATTAATTATGAAATAAATGCTAAAGTCATAGCAATACATCAACGTACTCTGTGCTATTCTGCAATGAATTAAAGCTCACAGCATAAAATAAAATTAAGAGTAGCATGCAAAGGATAACTGTGTGAAATTTGCAACATTTATATTATTGCTGAAATTATTCTATCACAAGTACAAAGCTAAAGCAGATTTGTAAGGGAAGAAGCTACATTTAAAGTAAAATTAGCACTTAAATAAAACAAGCAAATTAAGTTTGAGTGAAATGAGCATGACTGGTTGCCTTTAAAACTCGTTGAGTATATATATACACACATACAAACACACACTATCCTGTAAGTATGCTTTGACAGTAATATTTTACTTCAAATGCCTTTTAAAGGAGATTTAGCTATAGCTGAAAGATCATATTAAATTTCGTAATCTAAACTATGCATGAAAAACTCTTTGTGTACACTAACATTAATTGTTTTTACTTTACTTCCTGTATGAAGTAAATTAATTAAAAGAATTTCTTAATGTCAGAGCATATAATAAGCATGAAAAATATGTTTTAAACAGTGTACATCAGCAAAGCAATGCAAAATGAATCACTTTCATTTCCTTTACCGTAATTTTAAAAAGCAAGGTATTATATGTGCAATGCAAAGTAGTAGGTAACATATACATTACTTATAGATTCATAGATTC